CCTACAATTGATGTTGGCATTAACGGTTGCCAAAAAAGGACGGCCAAGGATAACAGGAATTTGACTCTTAGGATTGGGGCCCGGTTCCGTGTCTATGACAACGAAATCAACCGGGAAGAAGAATTTATCAATTTTTATCAAAACATCCTCAATTATACTCCTAGGCTTCTTAATGGATCGGTCGGCAAGTTGCAAAACTACCGACGTCGATTTCAATTCACCTAGGCCCAATTTGACATAAACCGAGTATGGAAGAAGGTTAGCACTTGCTCCTAAGTCAAGAAGTGCCCGATTAATGATATGATCACCAATGATGCATGAATTAGTAGGTGAACCGGGGTCCTTAAACTTTGGCAAAGTGTTATGTTGCAAAATTGAGCTTATTTGCTCGGTCAAAACCACTTTTCTTGGTGCTTGGCTCTTGTTCTTCCGCTTTTGGGTGCACAAGTCTTTCAAGAATTTAGCATAAGCCGGAATTTGCTTGATTGCATCTAAAAGTGGAAGATTAACTTTCACTTGCCTAAACATCTCTATAATTTCATTGGTTTTTGCTTTTTGCTTGCTTCTTGAAATGGATCCTTTAAAGGCATCCGGAAATGGAACTTTTGGTTCAAACACTTTTTTAGAATTTTCTTTTGAACTCTCTTCAACACAAGAAATTTTCAAATCACTTTGTTTCAAATCATTTTTCAGCAAAACTTTTTCAACATCATTTTTCAAAACTTCTTTTTCAAAGACATTTTTCAAGACTTTCTTATTCACAAGATCATGTATATGCAATGAAGGAGGAGTGGGATGTGAAACGGGATGGGTGACAACTTGAGGTTGCACCGGTTCACTTTCTTCATTGGACATTTCAACTTGATTGTCCACAATCCTACCATTCCGCAAGGTAGTCACCGCATTAACATGTTCAATGGTGTAGCCTTCTGTAATACCCCGTATTTTATTAAAGAGTTTAGTTTATTTAAAAATTTAATTATGTGAGGATTTCTTTACTTATTATTGTGCATGCTACATTATTATATTAAGTTCATTTAAATGTGCATGTAAATTAATTGTGTATGTTAAAATAGTAAATTTATTCATTTAATTATGCATGTATTATTATTAATAATTTTATTTGTTGGTTATGCTTATATTAATCATTATTAGTTAATTAAAGTATTATATTTGTGTTATAAAGTATTATAATGATATAATATATTCTTATGTAATAATAATAATAATAATAATAATAGTTTAATAATAATAATAATAATAATATAATAATAATAATAATTATAAAAGTTTTATTAATAATAATATTAGTAATAATAATATTAGTATTAAATTAATGTAATGATGAAAAATTAAATCTTAGGATAGGATTTACCTTAGGACATCTTGCTTGACTTGGCTTGCTAGCCTTAAAGCCTTATGGTTGGGAATGTGGTTAATTAAATGCAAAAATAGATATTTGTAATATTTATAGTATATAATTTGTATATAAATTAGCTAGCCTACCTTAGAAGGAAAGAAAGGGAGTTAGAAACAAATTATAAATTCTAGTGAGCCATTGTAAAAGTGTGGAAAGGAAGAGAGAGAAAGAAAGGAGCTTGGACCGGTGTAGAGAATTTACCCGACTACGCGCAACCGGCGGATTTATTTTAAATCCAAAAAGGCAAGTTATTATCTATTTTTCCCCTTTGAATCCATAAAATAATTGTTTAAATTATTTAGATTATGATGGAGCATTGAGAGCATGCTTAAATTTTATTAAATGATTTTTTTTAGTTTATTAAATTAATGAATTTTTAATTATTTAGGATGGTATATAATTAGTTATTATCCTATGATGTTCAAAATAGCTAAAAATATTTCCTTAAGGCATTAGGGATTTTTTTTAGAATTTTTAGGAATTTTCCGGGCATTTTCTGCAATTTCCGGCGACTTTCCGGCGAGTTTTCCGGTCGCCGGCAATGGGGGAGACGACCGGAGTGATCCGGTGTGATGCGGCGCACCATAGGAGGGTATGCGCGCGCATCTAGGCCATTAACAGGAGCGATTGATCCGGTGCACCGCGGTCCATGTTACCGCGGTACACCCGGATCTGTGGGCGTTGGATGGAGGGAAGATAGGGTGGGATGATCCGGTGTGACGCGAGTACGGAGTCCGGATGCAGCCAACCAACCAGGAAGTGACACGTCTGCAGGAAGCCATCAACGCGCGCGTGGGAGCGCGTGGAACTCTCCAGACGCGCGTGGGAGCACGTGCGCGCGCGTGGCTGATGCCAGACGCGCGTGGAGGCGCGTGGGAGAGTGGGGAAGGTTGGGCTGCGCGTGGGGAGGCTCTGGGAGGCGCGTGAGGGCGCGTGTGGGGTCTCTACAGCTGCTGAAAATTACCAGAATACCCCTAGGGCCTGTTTTGTAAATTCCAGAACCTTAAACGTGGATTTTTAGGTACTGTGTTGGTATTTACGGGTTTAACGGGCCACGAAATTATTATTTTAATACCCGTTGCTTATTCTTATGGCCGATTAATATTTCTAAACCTTAAATGACACATTTACTGTACGGATATGAAGGTGATTCATTTATCAACATTATTATAGATGCTGTTATTGTTTTATTAAATGGTATTCAGTAGTACTGTTAATAATGTCACGGTTATCGTCATATATATTAGCCATTAGATATTATGGGATGTTTATACTGTTAAATGATATATAAACCATGATTATTATGCTGTGTGCATTTCAGGAAATAAATGGACTGTTTAATTATGTCGCATTTATATTATATGGATGTGTTGCCATATAGAACCATATGAGCTGGCTAATAAGTTTAGACTCATTTATACCTTATGCATTCGTTGCTATAGACAGATGTGTGGCTGTCGGGGTATGTGGTTTAATATTATTGGCATGTGTTGCCTAATTGACATACTCGGTATATTTATTAATATTGTTGGCATGTGTTGCCTAATTGATATGCTCAGTATATTCATCAGTACTTTGAGAGGTGTTATCACTGTGTAGTTCGTTATAGTCTGTGTTGTCAGTACCGTGCACCATGTATAATAGCTGATTTCCCGGGTAGGGAAAGGCGATACTTAACCACCTAGTGTGAGTCTAAGTGATCACCGTCTATTCTGGTTGAGGTCATGTTATACATGGGATAGTTCCCTTAGGATGTATACAGATATAGTACTCAACCGATTTATAATGATTAATTTATTTGATTCTCTGATTTGGGTCATAGTAGAGAGGACTTGCTCGTGGGGTTGACCCACCATTGTTGTTATTTCAGGATACGGTCAGTACCCGTTCCAAGGTTGAGGTTAGCAGTGTGGGACCACCATCCGAACTCATCTACTCTTACGATCCAGTTCAGGGTAGAAGTTTTATGTATTACTTCAGTTTCAGTTTTTATTTACTTTTGACGTTGAACTCTCAGGGTTATATTTAGGGATCCTTGACATAGGATTTCCAAGTTGTAATGAAGTACTCTATTAAATAAAGGATGGATGGATGTTGTATTATTTAGTGTTCCTTTCTTGTCTAAATTCTTTTATTATCATCATTTTGTATTCCATGCTTGTATATTGCCAATTGTTTTTGATATCCCTCGTTTTTCGTGTATAAGCCTGATCAACTTATGCGTGGAAAATGTGGGGGTGTTACAGTTGGTATCAGAGCATTCCAGGTTCGAGTGTCTTAGGGATCTGTGATTACTATACTTCCGCGTTGTGTATTCTGATAATTAGAGCCTAAGTATTAGGGTTCTTTGTATTCTTTTAGTCGGTCCATTATAATGTACTGACGTTAGATTTTTCTGAATTTAAAAGAAGGATGTCTCGGCGTGGGACAAGGAATGCGAACCAGCATCGCAGTATTTCCCCAACTCAAAATGAGAATTAGGAATTTTTCCCTCAAGTTGCTGATATCATTGCACGAGCTGTGGCAGCAGGAGTAGCATCTGCTCTAAGAAACCAGCAACCTCCTCCGATAGTACCTGTTCCTGAACCAGTGGCACAGCCAATGTCATGGGACAAAACTCGTCACTCGTTTATCAGAGGGAATCCACCGACATTTGCAGGGTCCACAGATGTCCTGTTAGCATATCAGTGGAAACAGGAGAGCGAGCGTCATCTTCGGATGGTAATCTGTACCGAAGTGCAGAAACAGATGCTAGCTACGTTTATGCTGATAGGCAATGCATTGCAGTGGTGGGAGTCTATTACTGCTGTCGAAGAGAGGACCAGATTGACTTATGCTGAATTTCAGACTCGCTTTGACGACAAGTATTTTCCTATGTCAGTAAGATCAGCGATGAAGACTGAATTTCTGGATCTGCAACAGGAGGATATGACTGTGGCTGAGTATGAATAGAAGTTCATTAATTTGTCATTATTTGCACCAGAGGAGGTCAATACGGAAGAAAAGAAGAGAGACCGCTTTGTGAAAGGGTTGATATGGCCGATTAAAGTGGTGATCATAGGTAGTCCTGCATATACTACTTATATCCAGGTGGTTAATGCCGCTTTACAGCACTGCCAGATGAGGAGTGATTACCGGAAGTCCAAGGGAGATAAGCGGACTAACCGAGACTACCAGACAGTGGAGAAAGGAAGCAGCAGTGGTACCAAGTCCAATGATCGGGGCAGATTTCAAGGACATCAACCTTGGAAGAAAAACAAAGGAAACCTAGATGTGCAGAGGGATGGAGTCCCTAATCAGGGTAGACAAGGTGGGATACCTCAGACCGGACAGGAACAGTGGTCGGGAAGTCAACAGAGGAGGCAGGCAGGTCCTTTTACGGGACGTTGTTATCACTGTAGAGAGATTGGGCATCCGGCCAAGATGTGTCCCAAAGCTAAGCAGGGACAGTATGGGCAGCTGAGACCTAATCAGCCGTTACCTCTACCGGCCCCACCGATGCCACGTGGGCAAGTTCAAAATGTTCCGGCACTTCCAGCACCACCATTTCCTCCGGGACAACCTCCACAGCAGTTGTATCATGGCAGAGTTTATAACTTCATGCCACATAATGCGCAGGCTCCTCAGGCTATTGAGGGTATGTTTTCTATACATGGTAGAACTGCTCGTATACTGTTTGACACTGGTGCATCACATTCTTTTGTGTCTAGATCTTTTGTTATCTTATCTGGTATGACGACTCAGTTATGTGACCAACCTCTTAATATTTATACACCATTGGGGGTTGGCGCAATTTTACGAGAGTGTAGCGGTGATATCCTTATAGATATGGGCCGGCTTCGATTTCTTGCAAATTTGTTAGTGTTAGATATGCATTCATATGATGTTATACTTGGGATGGACTGGTTATCTCAGTACCATGCTCAGGTTAACCATTACGAAAAGTCTATTGTATTTGCTATACCAGGACAGGAGATGTATCTTCTTGTTGTACCACAACCTGATAGAGGGCCTAGCACTTATTTATTCGTTCTTGAAGAAGACTCACAGGAAGCGACTGCGGTATCTCTTGACAGCATCCCGGTAGTACAGGAATTCCAGGATGTATTCCAGGAAATTCTAGGCTTGCCACCGAGTCGAGAGATAGACTTCGTTATTGATTTAGCTCCAGGCACTACGCCTATTGCTAAGGCGCCGTACCGAATGGCACCAGTGGAGATGCGAGAGTTGAAAGATCAAATTTAGCAGTTGCTCAGCCAGGGATTTATTCGCAGGAGTACTTCACCATGGGGAGCACCAGTACTGTTTGTAAAGAAGAAGGATGGATCTCTTCGTCTTTGTATTGATTACAGAGAACTGAACAAGGTCACTGTTCGCAACAAGTACCCGTTGCCCAGAATTGATGACCTGTTTGATCAGTTGAAGGGAGCTACTTACTTCTCAAAGATCGATTTGAGGTCTGGTTATCATCAGCTACGAGTCAGAGAACAAGATGTTCCAAAGACAGCATTTCTCACAAGGTACGGATCTTATGAGTTTCGTGTTATGCCCTTCGGTTTAACGAACGCTCCAGCTGTCTTTATGGACTTGATGAATAGAGTATTCAGAGAATACTTAGATTAATTTGTCATTGTTTTCATTGATGATATTCTGGTTTACTCTAAGTCGGAGAAGGACCATGCCAGACATTTACGCACAGTATTGCAGACACTTCGAGAACATCAGTTGTTTGCGAAGTTTGAGAAGTGTGAATTTTGGCAGAAAGAGGTCAAATTTCTAGGTCATGTAGTGTCAGAAGAAGGGTTAGCAGTAGATCCAGCCAAGGTTGCGGCCGTTATGGAGTGGGGACAGCCTACCTCACCGACAGAGATTCGCAGTTTTCTGGGATTGGCGGGGTATTATCGCAGGTTCATCCAGGGATTTTCCAAAATTTCGGGTCCACTTACTCATCTGACTAAGAAGAATGTACCATTTGTATGGGATGATTCTTGTCAGACTGCTTTTGCTGAGTTGAAAAGTAAGTTAACTTCTGCACCTGTCTTAGCCACACCTCAGAGTGGAATCGAGTATTTAGTATTTACCGACGCTTCTCTGAAGGGTTTGGGTTGTGTGTTGATGCAAGAAAAGCGACCAGTTTCTTATGGGTCTAGGAAGCTTAAGCCTCATGAGCTTAATTACCCGACTCACGATCTAGAGCTCGCAGCAGTGGTTTTTGCCTTGCGTATTTGGAGACATTATCTTTTGGGGGAGACTTTTCGATTGTTTAGCAATCATAAAAGTCTACAGTATTTGTTCACACAGAGGGAACTGAATATGAGACAGCGCAGATGGTTGGAGTTCGTGAAAGACTATCATTTCTCTATTCAGTATCATCCAGGGAAAGCGAATGTTGTAGCAGACGCACTCAGCCGCCGACCCTATGTCAGCCTTTCAGCTTTGTTTGCAACAGAGTGGGATGCTTTGAAGACTGTTGATGAGTTAGCAGACGCTTTTATGGCATGTGTGGTAGTAACTTCTTCTATCATTCATCAGGTCATTCAAGCGCAACTCTCAGATCAACAGTGTATTGATCGGGTTTCGGAGTTAGCCTCCGGAGATGTTCCTTTTTATTCTATAGGGACTGATGGAGGATTGAGGTACAAGGGATGTTTAATTGTGCCTTCAGCTGACAATTTGAGAAATGTGGTGATGAGAGAGACACACACTTCTCAGTTCTCTGTACATCCAGGGGGAGACAAGATGTATCAGGACATGAAACGCCAGTTTTGGTGGGCCGGCATGAAAAGAGATATAGCTATCTTTGTCTCTAAATGTAGCACCTGTCAGATGATTAAGATTGATCATCAGAGACCGCCAGAATCGTTACAGCCACTTCCCATACCAGAGTGGAAATGGGAGAGTATTTCCATGGACTTTATAGAGGGATTACCTACTTCACAGCATAATCACAACTCTATTTGGGTCATTGTTGATAGATTGACCAAGTCCGCTCACTTTCTGCCTGTTCGGTCAAACTTTACGTCAGAACAGTATGCTAAGCTGTATATTGCAGAAATGGTGAAACTTCATGGCGTACCATTGTCCATCGTATCAGATAGAGATCCGAAGTTTGTATCAGGATTTTGGAGGAGCTTTCAGCAGGCTTTGGGTACAGAACTATATCTTAGCACTGCTTATCATCCTCAAACAGATGGACAGACTGAGCGAGTTAATCAGATTTTAGAAGACATGTTGTGGGCATGTGTTCTTGATTTTAAGGGCAATTGGGAGGAATATTTGCCGCTTTCAGAGTTTGCTTATAACAATAGTTATCAGAAAACTATTGGTATGACACCATTTGAGGCTTTGTACGGTAGACCGTGTAGGTCTCCTGTCTGTTGGCTTGGAGTTGGTGAGAACAGCTTTTTGGGTCCTGAATTTATTAAGGACACGTCAGAAAAGATCGCTATCATTAGGGATCGGATGCGTACAGCCCAAAGCAGACAGAAAAGTTATGCTGACCGTCGAACTCGTGCTTTGGAGTTTAAGGTTGGTGATCAGGTTTTGCTTAAGGTTTCTCCTATGAAGGGAGTAATGCGGTTTGGGTCAAAGGGTAAGTTATCGCCTCGGTTTGTGGGTCCTTTTATGATTACAGATCGGATTGGGGCAGTAGCTTATCGTCTGGCTCTACCAGATAATCTTCATAGGGTACATAATGTTTTTCATGTATCTATGCTGCGAAAATTTCTACGAGAAGAAGATCGATATCAACACATTGATGTAGGTGAAATTAAGTTGCAACCCGATGCAACCTATTTGGAACAACCTTACTGTATTCTCGATCGTAGGAAACAGATACTGCGCACGAAGACTATTCCATTAGTACGTGTACAGTGGAGTCATCATAGTGCTACAGAGTCTACTTGGGAACGGGAAGATATTATTCGTGCCAAGTATCCAGAGCTTTTTAATACAGGTATGTAGTGAATTTCGGGGACGAAATTCCGTTATTAGGGGGGGAGAATGTAATACCCCGTATTTTATTAAAGAGTTTAGTTTATTTAAAAATTCAATTATGTGAGGATTTCTTTACTTATTATTGTGCATGCTACATTATTATATTAAGTTCATTTAAATGTGCATGTAAATTAATTGTGTATGTTAAAATAGTAAATTTATTCATTTAATTATGCATGTATTATTATTAATAATTTTATTTGTTGGTTATGCTTATATTTCATTATTAGTTAATTAAAGTATTATATTTGTGTTATAAAGTATTATAATGATATAATGTATTCTTATGTAATAATAATAATAATAATAATAATAATAATAATAGTTTAATAATAATAATAATAATAATAATATAATAATAATTATTATAAAAGTTTTATTAATAATAATATTAGTAATAATAATATTAGTATTAAATCAATGTAATGATGAAAAATTAAATCTTAGGATAGGATTTACCTTAGGACATCTTGCTTGACTTGGCTTGCTAGCCTTAAAGCCTTATGGTTGGGAATGTGGTTAATTAAATGCAAAAATAGATATTTGTAATATTTATATTATATAATTTGTATATAAATTAGCTAGCCTACCTTAGAAGGAAAGAAAGGGAGTTAGAAACAAATTATAAATTCTAGTGAGCCATTGTAAAAGTGTGGAAAGGAAGAGAGAGAAAGAAAGGAGCTTGGACCGGTGTAGGGAATTTACCCGACTACGCGCAACCGGCGGATTTATTTTAAATCCAAAAAGGCAAGTTATTATCTATTTTTCTCCTTTGAATCCATAAATTAATTGTTTAAATTATTTAGATTATGATGGAGCATTGAGAGCATGCTTAAATTTTATTAAATGATTTTTTTTAGTTTATTAAATTAATGAATTTTTAATTATTTAGGATGGTATATAATTAGTTATTATCCTATGATGTTCAAAATAGCTAAAAATATTTCCTTAAGGCATTAGGGATTTTTTTTAGAATTTTTAGGAATTTTCCGGGCATTTTCTGCAATTTCCGGCGACCTTCCGGCGAGTTTTCCGGTCGCCGGCAATGGGGGAGACGACCGGAGTGATCCGGTGTGATGCGGCGCACCATAGGAGGGTATGCGCGCGCATCTGGGCCATTAACAGGAGCGATTGATCCGGTGCACCGCGGTCCATGTTACCGCGGTACACCTGGATCTGTGGGCGTTGGATGGAGGGAAGATAGGGTGTGATGATCCGGTGTGACGCGAGTACGGAGTCCGGATGCAGCCAACCAACCAGGAAGTGACACGTCTGCAGGAAGCCATCAACGCGCGCGTGGGAGCGCGTGGAACTCTCCAGACGCGCGTGGGAGCACGTGCGCACGCGTGGCTGATGCCAGACGCGCGTGGAGGCGCGTGGGAGAGTGGGGAAGGTTGGGCTGCGCGTGGGGAGGCTCTGGGAGGCGCGTGAGGGCGCGTGTGGGGTCTCTACAGCTGCTGGAAATTACCAGAATACCCCTAGGGCCTGTTTTGTAAATTCCAGAACCTTAAACGTGGATTTTTAGGTACTGTGTTGGTATTTATGGGTTTAACGGGCCACGAAATTATTATTTTAATACCCGTTGCTTATTCTTATGGCCGATTAATATTTCTAAACCTTAAATGACACATTTACTGTACGGATATGAAGGTGATTCATTTATCAACATTATTATAGATGCTGTTATTGTTTTATTAAATGGTATTCAGTAGTACTGTTAATAATGTCACGGTTATCGTCATATATATTAGCCATTAGATATTATGGGATGTTTATACTGTTAAATGATATATAAACCATGATTATTATGCTGTGTGCATTTCAGGAAATAAATGGACTGTTTAATTATGTCGCATTTATATTATATGGATGTGTTGCCATATAAAACCATATGAGCTGGCTAATAAGTTTAGACTCATTTATACCTTATGCATTCGTTGCTATAGACAGATGTGTGGCTGTCGGGGTATGTGGTTTAATATTATTGGCATATGTTGCCTAATTGACATACTCGGTATATTTATTAATATTGTTGGCATGTGTTGCCTAATTGATATGCTCAGTATATTCATCAGTACTTTGAGAGGTGTTATCACTGTGTAGTTCGTTATAGTCTGTGTTGTCAGTACCGTGCACCATGTATAATAGCTGATTTCCCGGGTAGGGAAAGGCGACACTTAACCACCTAGTGTGAGTCTAAGTGATCACCGTCTATTCTGGTTGAGGTCATGTTATACATGGGATAGTTCCCTTAGGATGTATACAGATATAGTACTCAACCGATTTATAATGATTAATTTATTTGATTCTCTGATTTGGGTCATTGTAGAGAGGACTTGCTCGTGGGGTTGACCCACCATTGTTGTTATTTCAGGATACGGTCAGTACCCGTTCCAAGGTTGAGGTTAGCAGTGTGGGACCACCATCCGAACTCATCTACTCTTACGATCCAGTTCAGGGTAGAAGTTTTATGTATTACTTCAGTTTCAGTTTTTATTTACTTTTGACGTTGAACTCTCAGGGTTATATTTAGGGATCCTTGACATAGGATTTCCAAGTTGTAATGAAGTACTGTATTAAATAAAGGATGGATGGATGTTGTATTATTTAGTGTTCCTTTCTTGTCTAAATTCTTTTATTATCATCATTTTGTATTCCATGCTTGTATATTGCCAATTGTTTTTGATATCCCTCGTTTTTCGTGTATAAGCCTGATCAACTTATGCGTGGAAAATGTGGGGGTGTTACACCTTCCGATGAGGAATGGGTTTCCACAACACATTGTTTCTTAGGTGGGGCATTTATAGGCGTCTTTCCCTTCTCTCTTGCATTGAAAGTGCTTGCTATTTGCCCTACTTGGGTTTCTAGCTTTGCAATAGATTGAGAGTGAGAATGAAGCAATTGTGTGTTAGCTTCTAAAGTGCCCAAAGCGTTCAAAACTTTTTCTTCAAAGGCGGGACTTCTAGTATTTCCTTAGGAATAAGATTGGTTGTGAAAATGAGAATTAGCAAATTGATTCCCTTGTGATTGATAAGGTCTATAACCTTGGGATCCTTGGTTTTGAAGTGGAGGTGGAATGTACTTCCCTTGAAAACCGCCTTGGGAAGGGTTTGAGCCCTCTCCTTGGTTTTTCCAAGAGAAGTTCGGATGATTCCTCCAACTTGGATTATAGTGAGTACCATAAGGATTGTTCCCTTGGTTCATAAAAGTTATATTGACTTGTTCATTAGGTTCATTTTGTACTTGTCCGTGAGGACAATGAGAAGTAGAAGGAAGAACACTAGAACAAGTCATACATGTTTCATTTGATGCATGATGAGAATGGTTAGGGAAGGAAGATACTTGGTTCGCCGAGTTTTGGTTAATCAAAAATTGATCAAACCTTTGAGATAAAGACTTCATTTCAGTGGCTATTTCATTCGAATGGTCGACTTGATGTAAGCTAACACTCTTCCTACCTTGTGAATTTCTACCATTCTTGGATGATAGTGTTCAATGCAAAGAATTTTCACTCATGCTCTCTTAAAGACGCCACACGTCATCCTCATGCCTATTGATGTATGAGCCACCCATGGAAGCATCAACCATACCCTTATAGTTGTCCGATAAGCTCTCAAAGAAATATTAAACTAATTTCCATTTGGGCATGTCATGATGTGAACACTTCCTAAGCAACTCATTGAAGCGTTCCCATGCCTCATGAAACGTTTCTCTATCCCCATGTGAAAATTTTCGAATTGAGGTTCTCATGGCATTGGTTTTAGAAACTGGATAGTATTTCTTCAAGAACTCTTGTTGCATTTCTACCCAAGAAGTGATTGAAAAAGGCCTAAGATTGTTAAACCAATACTTTGCCTTGTCTTTTAAGGTGAATGGAAAAAGTTTGAGTCTTAAAACCTCTTCCGGCATGTCCGTATATTTTACAGTGGAACATACTTCAAGAAACTTATCCAAATACTTGTAAGGTTCTTCACTTGGAAGTCCATGATAGTTAGGAAGCATCTGAATGGTTTGCGGCTTAATTTTATAATGATGGGCTCTAAATGGAAGCAATTGGATGCATGTAGGTGCATTATACTCGTTAGGCACATAATGGTCTCTTAAAGCAAGAGGTGGATTAGCTACTTGAGGTGCAACATGAACACCTTAGTTTTGAATTCCTTGATTGATGATGGGAGGTTGTGGATCATACATTGGCCTTGGCATTCTATATGGAGCTTGGCCTTGTTGTTGTGGTGGTTGGTGAATGAATGGCCTAGGCATGCCTAATGGTACTTGTATGTTCTCATTGTGCACATTTGGATGAAGGATACCTTGTTAGTCTATATGACCAAGGTCCTCAACATGATCATCATTATGGTCATCCATTGATAGATTGGTTCTATTTGAACTTCCTTTTCCCCTAGGATTTCTAATGATGGATTCAAGATGCAAATCAAGAGGGACAAGAGTTGGTCTCAATAAACGACGTCCATGTATGCACAATGCAAAACACAACAAGCACAAAGAATGACAAACACTATGCCTTCACAACAATGCAATTAAACTTCTTCCACAAACACTTAATTCATACTCCCATGCTTTAACAACAATGATGTAAAGAACAATTAAAAACAAGCCTCCACGCCGGCCGACGATTTAACTAAGGGATTGAGTAAAGAAAGTCTCACAAAGATCCTTTAGCACTTCAACTCCAAATTTAAAGCTTAGCTTAGCAATTTTTTTAAAAAATTTTTAGCTTTTTACTTTCTTTGCTTTGCTTGAATGCTCATTTGCTTGCTTCCTCTCCAACAATACACCTAGTCAAGTAAGAACAACATAATAAGTAACCAAAAAGAAAAATAAAAGTAAAGTAAAGACACGATCAAAAGAGTATTAATCCTAATTGATTCCATAATTCCGACGTTGCCAAATCAAATCAATCCCCGGCAACGGCGCCAAAAACTATGGTATGTCGCCGCACCATAAGCTTAAGAGTGTGCATTAAGGCGAAGGCAAAGAGTTTTACATTTATAAATGCCACTACTACCTTTCACTATAAATATAGCTAGGGCAAGTAGGGATCGTCCCAAAGGATTGTGAGGGTCAAACAAGGTTGTGAAATTGCTATTAGGGCTAGTAGGTCGAGTGATCAAACAATTGGTTGGTTGGTTGATTAGATTAGAGAGCAACTAAATTAAACTAAATGATAACAAAAGAACGCAATTAAGAGTAAGTAAGAGAGAGAAGAGTCTTGGGGTTTAGAGATCACCACCAAGCAATGCATTTCTATACCATTGACAAGTGATTAATGAGGACAAATGGTGTGTTACAATATTGGTGTGTGTGTGTGTGTGTGTTTGGTTGATTCAACAAGCAAGGATGACTAGTTAAGCATGTATTGTCTAAACATCATGTGAAAGGCACAATATATCTAAGCAATGAAGCATATATTGTCTAAACAACATGTGAACGGCACAACAGATCAAAACAAGTCATTAATCCTTTCGTTAAGCTCACAATCCAAAAACAACACAAGGTTAGAGACATATGCTACTTGCATTTAAAAGCTTGGATCATCAAATAACAAGCATGGATTGTCCTCCCATTTAACACTACACTACAACTACACTACATCTACACTACTAGCATGAAAATAAACTAGGGGATAGGCACAATCCATCAAGGAATAAGTATGAACCATCAAGAAAATCACAAGAGCATTCCATTAAGCACTTTGTTTTGACAATCTCTAAATCTATAGCATCAATACACATACACATGCATCAATAACACAAAATCTAGAGACAAGCACATTAACATCTATTCTAACATACATAGACATATGGATGGAATGAAATGATCAATTGAAAGCATTTAACCATATAAATCATTGAACAATCAAGATCTATATATATCAAAGTGTCAAAACATTAATTACAACACTAATCCCTCAATAATACACAAGATTAAGTTATAGAAAGCATGCTTGGGGCTAACTCTAGCCCCAAGAGGATGTCTAGCCACTCATGGTGATGTTGCTCCAACCCTCGAGGGCTAACTCCATGGAAGAGATTTGTTCCTTGTTGATGAAGAACTCCAATGGTATCTATAGCCTCCTCCTCCTCTAAGCTTGCCTCCTTGAGACTAATCCCTAGAATTGTATATGTCTCAAAAAGTGCATCATATTCCTTTTATAAGTAGGTCAAGTGACATACAAAATGAGCTGGGGTTGTGCAAAGAATATTCTCTAATGATTGGATAGAGGACGGATTGAACAAGCTGGCTTTTAACTTTTTTGCACTGAAGGAAGTTCAATCGATCGAACCTTGGACTTGGATCGATCGAACTTGGCTGAGATCTATCGAACTGAGACTGAATCGATCCAACTGGTTGAGCTTTTTGGGAAAAGACAAATCCAAGATATTTTGGGAGATAATTTTGGAAAAAGGATAAAAGTGGTTAGTGGGTGGTACAGCTGTGAATAAGATCAATCATTTGAATAAGGACAAAAGTGTTCGATCGATCGAAGGGTGGTGTTGAATTGATCGAACTTTGCTACTTTCTGCTTTGGGTCAAGGTTTGGATCTATCTTGAAGTGTTGAGATCGATCAGTGTTCGATTGATCGAACCTTGAAGTTGGATCGATCGAACTTTCCTGCTTCCCACCTTTGGCTTCATTTGCTTATTTCTTTCTCCACTTTGCTCCTTTCTTTGTTTAATCCCATAATAGCTTCAATTAAGCTCTTATTTGGCTGAGTTAGCTTATTTTCGAGATAAGTGCCTGAAAATGGAAATAATACGAAATCAATCTAAAACGGTAAAGTAAGATAGATAAAGGTACTAGAATGCCTAAGCTTAAGGGAAATACGCACTTTTCAGCGCTCATCATAGGTCTATAAATAGAGGAAGAGAGGTGGAAAGTAAGGGGGGAGAAGACTCGAACAGACCATTAAAGCTTTTTCGAATTCTTCATTCAACAATCAAAGCATCTAACACTTAAAGTATCCAACATTCAAAGTTCCAAAACATTCAATACTCTAAGAAAAAGAACAACAAGCACGGTGTGCTGTTCTTAATTGAAGTTTCAACCCAATTTAAGATCAAGTTCAAGCAACACTTAGATTCGGACCTCAAAGGAAATCGAATCAGAGGATACACTCTTTTTATTGCAAAGATATTAACAGAGGATTGTAGCTGAATTTTACAAAATTATTAAAATTGATATTTGCTCCATATTTTGTTCTTTATTCTACAGATACGAAATTTGTGTGTACAAATTTTTGGCACGCCCGGTAGGACCTCCCTACCTCTCATCTTTTTCTCCTACACTAAATCTTTAAGACTCCTCTTTGTCATAATCCATGGTGCCCCCGAAGGATTAGACAAACAAGAAAGCCCAAAAGAACATTGCTACTACAAAGGCCAACGCCAAAGCCACCATGAAAAGTGGCACAAGGTCAAGAACGTATCAAGTGATGGAAATACCTTGGCGGGCCCTGTGACTTGTAGTATGTCCTAGGCAATTGCATCATCCAAACATCAATAAGACTTAGTGAAAACCAATCCTGCCAAACCTACGATTGAGAAAGAATCTCAACATACCAACACCCCTGCTGTCTAGGAGGTTAAGAACTCTGACGTTGTTCCAGAAGAGGTCCCGTCACAAGAATCACCTCATTCAATCTCTAATGCTCACTCTAGTGTCG